CCAACAGGTGCTTCTGGCATCTTTCATCTTCCCCTGAGCTGGTCACAGTGGCTGGCTGGTGCCCTATTACCCACCAGTCACTGAGCCCAACTGAGGCAATAAACAGGGCAGCTGTTTGTCCCCCAGAGCCTGTGTGCTCAGGCCTGTGGGGCGCTGAGGCCCAGGGGCCTTGGAGCCTGTGTGGTGTCTCCTGCAGAAGGAGCTCCACTCCAGCACCTTTGGAGTGAGCTGTGCTTCACTGAGACAGACTGAAAATCTGGATACTGATGCACAATCTCTGGGTGGAAGAGGGGTCTCTGGCTTTGGGGGCTTTGATGTGCATCCCCTCTTGTCTTCCCCTCCTCCATGCCTCCTGAGCACCTGAGCTCTGGGTGGTGGCATCAGACATAGGGCACACAGCCAGTCCTGTGACATCAGAGCCATGGCTGACCTCTGGTCTTTGAAGCTAGAAGGAGTCTGGGGTCCTGGCCCAGCAGTTTTCCTTCCTTGGGCTCCCATGGGCTGATCATAATGCTTATGTGTGCATGCCTGTGTGGGTGTGTGGGTGTTGTGGTGTGTGTGCACGAGTGTGGATTTCCGGGCTTGGTTGTGATCTGCAGAAGGGGTATCTGGTCCCCCAACTCTTGCTTCACCTATAGGCTGCTGTGGTTGCTACAAGGTAGGCCTTTTGTCATGGTCCCTGCCCTGGGTTGGGCCTGCTCCCCTCTGCTCACCTGTGGGGCAGCAGTCTCTGGTTCTCCAAAGTGTACTTCCTTCTGCTGACCTAGCCCTGGTACTGCCACCCCCCGCCTGGCAGATGGCTCTTGAGGAACTGCTTGGAGACAGTGTGTTAAGTTGTGTCAGAACTGTATCCCTGCCGAGGGTGGGATAGGGGACTGGTGAGAGATGGGGCATGTCTCTCCTTAACCTCCATTCACAACACTAAGTGTGCTGTGAACTGTGAATGGCATGAAATAAGTTGGCTTTCCCTTTTAATCTCCTGGTCTCTTCAAGAGTGTTTGCCCTGCCCGGCCGGGCGTGACTCAGCTGTTGAGCATCAACCTAGGATCCAGGAGGTTACGGTTCAATTCCTGGTCAGGGCACATGCTGGAGTAGCGGGCTCGATCCCCAGTAGGGGGCGTGCAGGAGGCAGCCAATCAGTTATGATTCTCTCATCATTGATGTTTCTATCCCTCTTCCTCTCTCTGAAATCAATAAAGATATATTTTTTTAAAAAAGAAAGTGTGTGCCCTTCCTCTCCATAGCCCTCTGGTCAAGCATATGCTCTGGGTCTAGGTGGGGAGAGTGTTGGGGGATCCCAGGGGTCGGGGAACTGTGCCCTTGGTTGTGCACTGGCCACTACCTTGGCTGCATCAGGGGCCTCACCGAGGACCCCAGACTCGCCCTCTCAGCCCAGCTGGTACGATGTCAGTGGGGGCTAGGCAGCCCTACCATCTGCGCCACTCCTCCCTGTTAGCCCCACAGGACCTCACCAGACCCCTGCCCTGTAGTAGGAGGATTGGGAGGAGGGGTTAGTGGGGGACCCCAGGGTACCCAGAAAGCTGGGATAGCAGGCGGGAGGAGGCAGAGTTAGGGTGGCAAGTCCTTTGAGGGGAGCCTGGTCTTCACCCATCTCCAGGCAGTGAGTCTTCATTCTGGCCTCCCCACAGAGGCTGCAGAGGGCCTTCCCTCCAGAGACCACCTAATCTCTAACCACCCCTACCACAGGGCCTGAAACTTTTTTTTTAATCCTCACCTGAGGATATTTTTTCCATTGCTTTTCAGAGAGAGTAGAAGGGAGAGAGAAACATTGATGTGAGAGAGACACGAAGATTGGTTGCCTCTGCACACACCCTGACCAGGGCTGGAGATTGAGCCTGCAACTGAGGTATGTGCCCCTGGCCAGAATTGAACTCGGGACCCATTAGTCCGCGGCCAATGCTCTAACTACTGAGCAACACTGGCCAGGCCAGGGTCTTAAACTTTTTAATACCTCCAGAGCGGGACGGGGTGGGGATTCAGCCAGGCCTTTCTCCAAGGCTGTGGGACTCAGGCCAGACCTTGGTCCCAGCCAGGATGACCCAGAACTTGTCCCTAGGGCTGTGCTCAGGATGCCCATAGCCTGGTTCCCCCCACACCCTCCTGCCTGGGCCTTGGTGTACCTGTTGCTCCTTGAGGGACTCAGAGCCCATCTCCGGTCTAGAGAGGAAGTGTAGCAGACAGTCCAGTCCCCAGGGGTCACAGAGTGACCAGCAGGGAACTGAGGCCACCATGAGCCTCTGCTAGTCATTGTACTTTCTGGTTCTTCCTGCCTGGACGCAGGGATGCACTGGGCAAAGTGGAACGCAGAAAGGAATTATTTGTTCCCACTCTGTCCCCAGGCACAGTTCGCAGGTGCTTGCTAAGTGCTTATTGATTCATTCCATAAATATCTAGGCCTGCTTTCTTCCTGGCACCAGGCAGGCAAGCTCTGCCTGTGTTTGTACAAGCAGGTGTATGCATACACTTGCATATGTGTGGGTGTTTCTATGTGCATGAGTGTGCACTTGTGTGCTAGTGAGTGTGTGTGCATGGATGTTTGGACATCTGTGAGTAGAGGCATGGACATGCACACGTGTCTGCATGAATGTGCATATGAGGTGTGCTAGGTAGTGTGTGCATGAGTGTGCGGATATATGGGTGTGCAAGGCAGCAGTAGATGAATCCCTGCCCTCCTAGGAGTCTTACCCAGTTCATTATTGCTGAGCATTGCAGGTAAGCGCACGTACCTTTTGAGAGTCGGTTTATATGCAGGGGTAGAGCTGATGACCATCTGGCCACAGAAGAGGCCTGCTGTGGATGTGCTTGGGCCAGCCTGCGAACCTGAGGTGCCCCATGGGCAGATGCGCCATCATGGCAGGGCCAGAGCACAGTGGAGTCCAGAGCTCCAGAGACCTGTTTGTGATGGATTCTTGGTGTCGACAGGCTACAACAGGGTGCACTGGGAAGGAGGGGCAGGTCTAGGGAGATTGTGTGGGGTTGCTGATGACAGGAGGCGGCAGGAGAGGATGGGGCCACAGAGCTGGGCCCAGGCCAGGCAGCAGGCCTGTGGTACGGGCTCTCCATGCAGGACTCTAGCTCCTTTCTGAATGGGGGGGAGGGGGGCGTGTCCTTGTACAAACCATTAAAGACACCAGTAGATACGGCCTGAGCCCCAAACTCTATGGAAGGAGTAAGAAAGGGGTCCTAGCCCGTGGAGCTGCCAAAGCCTCAGCCTCCATGGCCCTAAGTGGCCTGGGCCTTTGCCTCTGACACCTGTCAGCTCTGACTGCCTGTGCAGTGTGTGGACTTGATAGAGCTATAGTGGTCTCTGCATCCCAGAGGCTGGGGGACGCCCAGTGCCCTGGGCTGTTGGTCCTGCAGGGCCCTGCTGTGCCCAGGCAGTTTCAAGGAGGATGTGGAGCTTTGGAGGGAGGTGGGCAGGCACTGGGGCGCAGGGCAGGGCCCACGTTGCCATCTCCCTGCTGCATCCTCTGGCAGAGTCACCATCTACCCAGTTGCCCTGAGAGGCAGGGGGGATACTGTCCCAGGTTACAGAAGAAACGGGCTCAGAGAGGGCAGCAATTTGTTTAATGTCTCCCAGTAGATGTGGGCCCCAATTCCAGCCCCCCCCCCC